TGAACTTGTATAGATTGTGCCTTAATAATTACAAAGATGATGATTGTGTTGTTGGTGCTACATACAGATGCTGCATTTCTTTTCCAAGATCCAGTACAGAAGTTAGAGTGTTGGATTGAAACTTGGGAGATCCAGGTTTTAGTCCCCACTCAGCCATGAAGTTTACTGGGTCATAAATTCCCAGCTCATCCTACTTCACAGGGTTATTGTTGTGCAGATGAAATGGAGAGGAGACCCTTGTAAGCCTCTTGGATTCTTTGCAAGAGGAAGAAGAATGGGGTATAAATGCAACATTATAATATTCGGGGAAGATATAAAAAGATGTGAAATGGAACATATCACTTGAAGTGATTTTTCTTTAAAAAGCACTTTATTAAGTGCTGTTAAAAAACAGCATGGGAGGAAGGATCAGGATAAGAATTAGAGGAATGATGTAGAGCATGTGACTCTGAATTTGAAACAATAATTGCAAGTACTTTACCTAACATTGTTATTAAACATTTGGATAATTTAATTGCTCAAAGTATTTATGGAACTGTAAAAATTTGCAACCCAGTAGCACTTGAACAGAGTGGAGAGCAGGCAACCACCTCCCATATCTGTTTCTTCCTTCTTTGCTGGCAGAAGATTCCTTTAAATGCCACCATCTTCTAACCCTGGAGAACCAAGCAGTGTATTTTTAATTGTTGTTCACCCTTCCTGTGCAACAAGCTGGGAGGGGGGGCAGGAAACGCCATAATTCTTACAGAGCAATCTGGAGGCAAATCTGCTGTGAGATCCTTGCAGGAAAAAGCTTGGCTATAAATACGATAAAATAAATGGACATTAAAAAGTAAAGCAGGGCTGGGGCATCTCTTTCAGCACAAGGCCTGAATTCCATTTTGGGGGAGCAAGTACTTTCCATATTTTTTTGGAATGAAAAAGGTGCCGGGTCCAGTGCAAGCAATGATCAAACAAAAGCTTCCGAGGGTGCAATCCCAGTGTCCTTGTGTCAGATATTTGTACGTGTCCAAATTCAGAGGCTTTCATGCATTCTCTGCCTTGTGCGCCGGTGGCGGCCTCCACCACTGCTGTGCCTCACAGTGGGCATTTTCTCTAGATGGCTGTTTTGTGCTGCCTAGTTTTAGCATCATGGAGGAAAGAAGGCTGGGGTGTCACGTGAGGTGAGTTCTGCATGTGTCCATACCCCAGTCTCCTCACCTCCTGGTGTGCCCTTTTGTCCTGCTCTGAGACCCAGCTACAACTGGGGGGGGGGGGGGCAGCTTTTTCATGAGCAGGACCCGGAGGTCAGTTTGAACATGAAGACTCCTATGGCCTCTCAGACAATGTTGGGAGGCCACAGGATCGTGCCATAAAGCACTTATGCAAGGAAGCAAAGCCACGTGCTTTATGGGAAGAGGAAAACCCCCCAGGATCAATAATTGGTCTGGGAAAGTTCCTTCCTTTATCAAAATGATGATAAACTTTACCCCCCCCACCCCCTTTTTCCTTTTTTTTTACTTTCTGAGATCCAGTAGCAAACTTTCATTTGAGGTTTGCTGAAAATTTAGAGTGTTTTCTCACATGACTGTTTCTATTTACAATGCAGGGGCAGAACATTATTTTTCCTTGTGGTTTTTACTATACCATAATTAACTGTTGAGCTGACAAGAAGTTATCTGTTTATATAATTTCCAGATCTTCTCTGGTTATTTAAAATCTCTTGGTGTCAACGGGATTGTTAGTTACGGTGCAGAGCAGTGGCATTGTTTAATAGGAACATGGTCTTAGTGAAAACAAATTGTCCTGATTATACAAGGGTTCCTGTTGTGGGAGAAAAGTAATCTTAACAAGTTGTTATTAAAAATGTGGATTTATCAGGTAATTCCACAGCTCAAAGTATTTATGGAACCCAGTAGCACTTGAACAGTGTGGAGTGTGAGAACCATTCTTATATCAGTTTCTTCACTCTTTGCTGGCACAGAGTGACTTTAAAATGCCACAGTCTTCTAGCCCTGGAGAACCAAGCAGTGCATTTCTTTTGTAGCAAAAGGATCAAACATGTAGTAGAATCTTAAACAGTTAGGCTAGGAGTATATCCATTTGATTGTCATTTCCCCTTCCTGTGCAATGAAAGCAGGGTTGGAGATCTCCGTAATTCTTACAGAGCAATCTGGAGGTGAATCTTGTAAGCTGTCTTGGGTTCCTTTCAAGAGGAAAACAGGCATGGTGATGATGATAAATGTCTACTCAGTTACTCTCCAGTAGCTGCACTATATAGTCAACAGAATATAGTGGAAGATCAGGATGAAAACTAACAGGTATGTCACTTTATATCTATATGGTAGGTATCATGTGCCATAATGGTTTATTGTTATTATTTTATTATTCCAATGTTTTATTGTAATTTGTGGTTTATGTTTTATATTTATGCCTTCATTGTTCTCACCTGCCTGAGGAGCCATGTGGTTAATGGGGTGGGTTAGAAAACCAATAAATAAATAAATAGTGATAAGCTGAGCTTCCTCTAATTGTAACTTTAAATAAGATAGGTGACCAAGTTGCAATCTAGATAAATTTCTTGTCCTTTTAACAGTTTTACATTCTCAAGTACAGATGCAGATGTGGCTTCTTTGGGCTTTGTCTCTTGCTGCCTACACCAATTCCTGGTTCATTGCTGGGCTAACCAAGATCCTTATTTACTCCACACCAGCCAAAAAGATAGTGGGAGAAACCACCATTCTATTCTCCTTCAAGGTTACAGAGAAGGTCGAGCACCATTTGACATACTCTGAAAGGTGTAAGAACTTACGTGGCATTTTCCCTTTGCCTTTCCTCAGAGCAGGTCACTGCATCCTCATGACAACCTGTGTGGAAGGTTACATTGAAAGCCAATGACTAGCCAAGGTCACCTAATGAGGTTCATGGTTCAACAGGAATTTGAAACTGGGTTACCTCAGTTCCTATTCTTACACTCTAATTCAGACCTCCCCAATTTGTTGTCCTCCGGGTATCATGCACTACAACTCCCATCCTCCCTAGCCAGCGAGGTCAGAGATTATGGGGGTTATGGTCCACCACATCTGGAGGGCACCTGGTTGAAGAAGGCAGCTCTAATCATGTGACCACATCAGCACTATCACACTGAATCTAAGGGCAAGCAGCAACAGATGCTTTTTGCAACTCAATAAAGCACAGCGCTGCATTTGGAGAACCAAAGGCACAACTATTGCTTCTATAACAGCCTTTAATATTTCCAAGATGGTTTGCAAGTATAAGCAAACAAACAAAAAGTTGGCCCTCCCATGAAGCAGGATGAATTCCCTGCTCAGGTTGTGGATTGGGAAGGGTAATAGTTCATCTTGGAAGAGCCCCTATAGGCACTGCTGGTCCCCACAGGACAACAGTAAGTTGGGCTCCTTCAGGTGTGTCAACGGCAGCTTCCCCAGCACCCAATTTGAAAGTAGAAAGGTGACAGCAGCAGCAATGAGAGGGAAGGGCAGTTTGCATCTTCCTACCTCTGGGGGATATCTTGCGCCACTGATAAAAGCACAACAAAAAAGTAAAAGACAAAACACGATAAACCAATAAATATACCACAAGTAAAAGCAGCGTATCCTATGAGGAGCTCCTGAAAATTTGGCAGCATCTCCATGCTGGGAAAAAATAATCACCAGTTAGATTTGTGCTCTGCATTTATTAAGTGGAAGAATCTTTGTCATAGAGAATTGTGACAAAAATGTGCATTTGTGTGTACAGTCAGACAGAACCTGGCTTTTGACCTTTGTGGTCAGTTACACTGTCATCCAATGTAACATCCAGATCTTTCCCAATGTCTGTGTTGGCAGAAACTTTAGGAAAAATTCAGGAATGCCTAGAAGATATTCTAAGCACAGAGAGCAGTGCGAGTCCATGATTCTCTCCTCTAATGAAATAAACTATTTTCTCTTTGTTGTTCATAAAAGATATAGAACATAGTTGTAGAAATTCTGAACCCAGAATTCCTCTTTCATAATAAAGCTAAACATGGCTAGGTGATGATCTTGCATGGATCACATGATCAAATATGTATATTCCATTTGTCAGGGTTAATTTACTACTTAATAATAGTTTGTTTGTGATTTCTTGACCATGTGTTTCCCTCCTATACATAAATTTTGGCCAGCAATCTTTATGAATATATATTGAAAATTCTATTAGGTTCAGAATAACTGATTTTAATTTATAGGTGTAAAATTATATCATTTTAGCTGCAGAATTTTGGCCTGCCTTGGTCTGAATGAAGAAAGATAAAAATTAAATCTGTGTCCCTGTGTCTTTTCTTTTTATTTATTAGCTTTATATATTATCCAACTGGCAAAGTCCCTTGGGGTAGTGTATAATAATAAAACAAAAACAAAACAATTTTTTAAAAAAATCAAGTCAAAATACAGTAATGAAAATTTATATCAGTATAATCAAACATTAAAATAATTAGGCTGCAATTCTATCTGCACTTACTGGAGATAAAGCTCTAATAATCTGAATACCTTATTTCTACGTGTGAGCGCATAAAATTACATTTCAAAGCAATATAATACACGATACACATCGTGAATTAAAAAGACATCAGTATAGTTAGATTTCTATAAATAAATTTCTCTGTGACCATCATAGCATCTGAAAATAATATGGCTCGTTGTCCAGAACTGCGTCCGACTCTCCCGCCTGGTTTGGAAGAGAGCAGGTCGAGCAATGTACTTTGCACATGCTCAGCGCTCCCGCAATGTTGCTTCACAGCAAAGCTCACCCGCTGAAATGAAACCCCGCGGGCTGCTGCAGGAGGCCGGGCAGCGCCGCGCTTGAGCGAGGCCGATTGCGCAAAAGCCGAGCCGCAGCTGCTCGGCCGGGGAGCGCCGCTGCAGCCGGCTGGCTGGAGGAGCTCCGCCCCGAGGGGCGGCCCTGCGGCCGAGCTCTGCCCTCGCCCGGTGTAGCAACCGAGCCGTCTCCAGCGTCAACAAAAGTGGGGCGGCGGCCGGAGGAGGAGCAGCAGCTCCAGCCTCGGGATTCACCGCGCCCGCCCGTCACAATGGGATGGAAGCGGCCAGGTGGCCCGAACGAGGTGAGGCGGGGAGTCTGCAGGGGGCGCTCGGGAGTGCTGGGGGCGGCCTCCTACCGGCTTGCGGGGGGGATTCCCAGGATGAGCCAAGGTTACCGTCCCCCCTCCGTTAACTCCACAGTGCCTTCTTCCTTGCAGCGGAGGCACGCGGGGTCCGATTGCCGGAGGGGACTCGTGCATGATCTAAACTGCCAAAATGAGTGAGATGCTTATTGATTATCACTATCATCATCTTCATCATCATCATCATCTTCTTCTTCATCCGCTCGTAATTATTAATGGTCACGTTGCTTGTAGGGTTCCCATTATTATGCTTTTGCTTTTGGGGTGAGGGCGGTACATGCAGGCTTTCTACAAGCGGGGTTACTGAACCAAATAACGAATCAAAGGAATCAAAAGAACTGAGATCCTCCCTGACTGTGCGCGGTCCTTTCCAGTCCGGACAATAACTTGTGGAACAGTGAGTTGTGGACATCTTTGCATTTTCCTGCATAGCATCACTGGGTCCAGAACCTGAAATGGCTCCTGTACCTTTAAGAGTTGCATAAACAAGAGAACCTTTGCTTTTGCAAAGAGCGAAAAGTTAGTTCTGTCCTGACAGAACAAACTGTTTTATGTGGAAACTTTTTCTCTGCATAGTTCTTACAGCCTGCACTTGTGAATATTTGCTCTGAGGGAAGGTTTGCCCAATTCTTGGAGTCTCTTAAGTAAATTCGCATAGCAAACTTAAAAGGACAGGAGCCCTCTCAGGACTTTTTGACCTGGTGATTACTACTTCTGAGCTTTGTTGAATCAGCTTTATTTAAAATCAGCTGTCTCTTACAACACTCTGTTCAAATAGATCCAAGGTCCCCATGCCAAAATGATGCAGCAAATTAAAATATGTTTCTGTCTCCTTGCCATTTGTAAGGTTCAGAAGTTAGTGTGAAGCGCAGAAGACTTGGGAAACTTTCATGTGCAGTTATTTTTTATCTCTTGTAAAATATGAAATAAAAGTGTGAGAACTTATTTGTAAGTTAACATTACAGAAATCTCAACTATTTTTGTTGGTTTTAAGGTTGGATTGAGTGGAAAGGGTCCTCTCCTTGGAAGGCTATTTTGTCCTAAATGTCTTATGGATAAAGGGTACAAGCACTGATGATTTTGGTATTCCCTTCAGGGGAGCACATCCTATTGACTGAGACTGGAAGAGGTTATATGGTCATCAGTAGTTCCATGACTGCATACAGCATTGCATGTGATGAGAATACCAAAGTCAAAACCCATCTTACTAATACTAACATCTTTCATAACATTTATTATGTATAATAACTGATACTTCCCAGATCTTTTATTGCCTTTGTATATATTTCCTTAATTTCTGTCTCCTTTTCCGTTACTGTTTTATCCCATCACTCATTGATTCTGGGGGGATCAATGGGTAGGTGATATTTTAGACTAGAATTTCCATTGACTATGCTGAATGGGGCTTATGAAAGTTGTGGACTAAAGATTTGCAAACCATCATGTTGCATCTTGCCGCCCTACGTAAATATTATGTTCTTTTCCCAACATTGCAGTCCCTGTGCATGTTTACTTCTTAATGAGCCCAATAAAAGTACAATTCTATATATGTCTACTGAGAAGCAAATTCTGTGAAGGTCAGTGGGCTTTCTCTCAGGTCATTGGATAGAGGATTTCAGGATGAGTTACACATACACTACACATACTTTTTTTTTTTTTTTAAGAGAAGTTACATTCCCATAAGAATAGTAGGACTGAACCTGAATTAAACAGTTCCCTCAGGCAGCAAATTCTGCAGTGGCCCAGTGGGGGCAAAGAGCAAAGTCAGGGTGTTGGCAGACTGAGCTGTGTATGACACAGGATGTGCTCTGTGTTACCCTGCTGACCTGAGGAATAGTGGATGACACTCCACTGATGTCAGTGCTGAAACTGTCGCTCTGTTTGGTCCTATGTGTGGAATGGGGAAGGAATGCCATCTTGTCTGTTGCCTCAGGTATCAAAATGTCTTGTGATGGGGGCATCAGAGATCAGCCACAAGTCTTACACACAATGTGTCATACAGCTCTTGTGCCTATAGCTCATAAACAGGTCATGGCTGGTAGAGGTTAATGCGTGCATCAAGCAGGAATGTGGTTGTGCTGGGTTTCCCAAATGAAATAGACCTAGTTGTTGTTGTCAGCAGGAAAGCAGTTTTGTCCCTGTGCCGCTCTGAATTAATCTGTGAATTGGTGTTGATATGTAACATCAAGTATTGGGATTTAAACCACAAAGAGCCTAACTTTACAAGAGGGTTGGCTTATGATAATTTTGGGTGCATTCCAGCCCTGCAGGATTAGTATAACCTTAACACAGAATGTGAAATGTTTATAAAGAAATAGATTTCTCTGGTGGATGAAAATGGATTTGCCTACATGACTTAAGCCAGTCTGGTCCCCCATACCCCACAAGTTACATGTAGGCAACCTCCTGAGTTTCACAGTGTTTTGGTTGGATGTTTGCCAGTGTTTGGCTTGACTCCTTAAGCTTCTAAGCTTCCTGAGAACTCCATGCATTTATCACAGGGCATATAGTTATTCTTTCACAGAAGGCGGCATCTATTAAAACCACAGAATTCACAGGATGTGAAGGCTTGAAATATATATTCTCTGAAACTGAGGGAGAAACTTGGCTGGATGAACCTTTTGTGACCTTTCCAAGTGAATCTGGAGTGTTGGGCTTAAGATAAACCTCTTTATTATTTCCCTAAGTAGCTTGGCCATCTTTCAATATAAGTTGATTTTGCTCTTTATTTATAGGTTCTATCTTCTTTTTTTACTAATGGAACCATTGTGTCTTCTCCTTGTTATTCATAGTCTTGAGTAGTTCATGTAAAGAAACTGTTCAGCTGGTATGAAATGTTATATTCCAAAGTGAAAAGAAAGTGTATAAATAACCCTTTGAACAGCTGTCAAAATAGCACAGCATTTGATCTACCACTTGGGACTTTTGCACTCTATTTGCCATGTTTATTCTAGAGTGGACTGGATTTACTTTGCATGAAGTACTCAGCCACTGTCTCCCTGTAATAATAGAACTAGCTTGCAGTTTTTCCTGTTAGATTATCATCTTGAATTAATGCTATCCCTTACAACATCTTTTCATATGCAAAGTGCTCATGAATTCCATTCAGAATTGTTTAGTTTGGGGAAGGTGGTTTGAATGTGACAATATGTAAGTAGCTGAAATTGACTTCAGATTCTCCATTGGCACATACATTGCAACTGATCTGACTGTGGTATCATCACTGTTTACTATCCACAATATCATCATCATCATCATTAGTAATAATATAATCACACGCAGCATGTATGGAGCACTTCATAGCATTCAGAATACTTATGTATATTATCATGTATGAGATATTTTCATAGTATTCTACGAAAGTGAGATTTCTATAAGGATTTACTAACATGAAGTCATTGTATCAAAGAAGACGCTGGTCTCCATCTATCAGTCTGGTCTTTGAATTGCAGTAGTTAATATTATGTGCAGCCAATGCCTGGAGGAAGCCCTCTGTCTCCCTGGAGGCAAAATGCAAAACATACTGCTTGGTACTGTAGCCAAAGGGCAAATGTTTGCACAAGCCTTCTAGTGCATACAGAGAAGGCATGTTGTAATGTTTACCAGCATTTTATTGTTTTATTGTTCTGTTGCCCTCATTTAAAGTTGCCCTAGTAACTTTTCTAGCAATGTGAATCTGGATTAATAATTCACTGTATAACTGAGGCAAAGCTTTCAGCACACAACATCCATTAGGATTTGGCTCATAAGAGTTCTTCAGTGAAAATTTCTCAAGCCACCTGAAAAGCCTCTCTGGAGCTGGTGGAGGCTTCTAAATAATATCAGAACGAGCATGGAAATTGCTGAGGGACAAGAGAATTTTGCCAATTCAAGCCGATATGAAAATATTTCGGCCAAAATGAACTCAGAATGAGCCATGCATACTCCTGTGTTGAGTTGCAGATACAAGCCCTGGGCTTCTTTGACTGGATAGGCATCCTTTCACTGTAGGCATCCTTCTCCAATTTGATGCTTTTCAGATGATCTGGACTTCAATGCCTAACAGCTACAGGCAGGATGGATAGTGTTTAGAAATCCTGAGAGCTGTGCTCTAAAACATCTGGAGGGTACCAAGTTGGGGAAGGCTGATTTGTACCTTGTAAATCTATGCTGCAAGCATGTTCTAGAACCTTTTCTAAAAAATTTCTCCTACCTTCCCCCCATTTAGGTTCTTCGGTTATTATGTTGCTTAAAGGGATGCATTACTTTGGGTTGTATCTAACCACTTCCGTTCCCCAGTGGAACAGACACCGCTGGTGGATCAAATGAGCCCTGCCCCAAATTTGGTTTTGGAGGAGATGCAGGAAGCTGGGAAATGAATACTTTTGTTGCACAAGTGGAAATTCACTTGCATAACATGTGTTGGATTTTGCTTATTGACTTCTCTGTTGAGGTGGCAACTGGGAATGTGTAAGGAATCTGATGCGGAGGAGCCATCTGACTCAGCTCAGCAGATTCTGCTCTGGCAACCTTGTGTTGGCAGCAACACAATCTGATGTGAGCTGACCCAGTGTGTGGGCCATGATTTAGATGTATTTTTTAAATTGGAAAAACCTGCACAAAACCCTAATTTACTCTCCACAGTTTGTACAAATTGCACAAATTGTGGAGTGGAGGCCTGCATTTCACGCATCTGAAATTTCATCTAATCTGATAAATAAATCAGATAAAATAAATGGCAGAGCTGTAAAGTCTGCATATGTAGTGAGAGATAGATGCTTACATAGCATCTACCTCTCACCATATAATAGCATATATGTTAATGTCATGTTATATGCTACAACAAGAACAAAAACAAGAACAGTGACTTGAATCTAATGAGCTGGCACCATCCTCAACTTACTGCACTTTCGACCTTTGGATTGGAATTGTGTTGAAAATCCATTGACCTCAATTAGAATCAGTTCTCCAGTGTCACACATCCTTAGTGGCAACATGACTTATATATAAGAAGAGTAAACATATAAACCTTCTGTTGGGACAAAGGTCTAAAAATTCTGTGATTTGCTTTTGCTACTGTTGGTCATGGCATCCTTACGCACCAACTCTGTGAACTGTGGCAGTGAGAGGCATAGTGAGATAGTGGATTAACACCCATTTCCAAAGTCATTTCCAGAGGGTTGTCTTGGAGGATTTCACCCTGCTCCTTTGACCTCTGTACTGTGGAGTCCCATGGGTTCCATATTTTTTCCTGGCATTTTCACATGTGGCTGAAGCTGCTGGGTAAAGCTAATTGGGGATTTGGAGCGAGTTGCCATTGGTATGCCGATGACACTTGGACTTTGTTTCTCCCTGTCATCCATGAACCAGGAGACAACGTGGAAGCACAGATCAAGAATCAGTGATGGGGTTGATGGGGACCAATAAACTGTAGTCGGTCCTGACAAGATGCAGGTGCTGTGGCTTTGTCAACAGGTTGGCATTCCAGTTCATCCTGTTCTGGAATGGTCTGTACTCTCTCTGAAGAATCAGCTTCTCCTGGATCAGGCTGTCACTAATAGCCCAATTAGTGTCAGTGGTGCAGAAGTGCTGGTTGCCAGCTGCTACCCCTCCTGAATAAGGGTAATCTGGGCACATTTATCTAGGCCTAGTAACCTCTTATTTACTTATTTACAGTAAATATTTACTTTACAGTGGTACCTCGGCTCACGAATGCCTCAGTTCAGGACCAAATTGGGTCACAAACAAAAATTTCAGAAAAAGTTTTACTCAGGTTGCGAACACCTCATCAGTTGACGATCGCGATGGCGCCCACCTCCCCACCACGGCACCCATGATCATGCCTGTCTCCCCCGCAATGTGCCCGTGATCGTGCCTGTCCCCCCACCAGCGTGCCTGTGATCACACCCATCTATGCCCATGATTGTGGTTGCGCTTGTGCAGGGGAACCTGGGAGTTGAAGTTCAAAACACTGAACTGTCTACCTATCACTGGTGTAGAGTGTTTAGATCACATACGCCAACTTTAAGAAGGTTCTACTGACTGCTTCTTTGTTTTTGAGCCCAGTTTTAAGTGCCAGTATTTACTTGTTAAGTTCCAAATGCTTGGGACTGAAGTAACTGAAGGAGCAACTTGTCCTATAACATCTTGCTTATGATCTTGGATAATTAACTGAGAAGTAAAGCAGGTGACATTTACGGAGAGGGCATTTTGCTTGTGGCACACTATTTGTAGAAACGCTGAGCTTAAGTTTGGCCTTGTGCCAGCATGGCTCTGTTTAAGTTCTAAGCGAAAACATCCTTATTTGTTCAAACTTTGGAGTTTTAGCTAGTTTAGGTAACATGGTTTGCATAGTTCTGTGTTGTTCTTGTTTTTGTGCAGGCTTCCCCAACCTGGTATTCTCCAGGAGTGGTCCCTGACAGCATGGGCTGCAGACCACACAAGTTGTAATCTAACGTCTCTGGAAGGCACCAGATTGGGAAAGGCTGTTGGATTTTATTGTTGTGATGTTTTTGTTGTGTGAGCTACTCTGGAACCAATCTTTGTGAAGGGTGGCATAGAAATACCTTAAAATAAATAGTCCTTCACAGGACTAAGCTGCTGGTTAATTCAGTGGCTGGAGCTACTGCTAGTTTTTATTACTTTGTTTTGTGACTGATATTTTATTGATTGTTATTAACATTTTTTAAATATTCATGTTTTAAGAGGAACACAAAAGGAAACCAAAGAACAGTGTGGTTACAATGACTAGTAATGTGGATAAACGGCCTGCCTGGACTGAATGTGAGTATTTTAAGATGATAATATTTCATTAAATAATTTATAGCTGAAGGTTTTATTGGGCATGTTTTGTGCCTTTGAGGAACCAATTAATAGCATGCTTCAGTAGTGTCTGAAAGCAATGTCTCTGCAAAGGGATCTTTTTCTCTTTGCTATATCTATTGCTGTTGTTATTGTTTCAGATACCCGTACAAATAGTAAGTAGTATTAATAGTCATTAAGACACTTATATCTTTTGCCTGTGGGACTCCAATTTAATTCTGACAGGCACAAGTGGTGTGATGTTTCAGGATGTTCATTAGTATTCCCAGTGCTTTTTTTGTAAAAAAAAAAAAAAAAAAAGTGCAGGAACTCACGTCTTGGGGTCACACTTTTACACAATGGTCGCTGCTGGCAGTAAGCACTCAGTGCGCAACCACACAACTGATCCCAAGCCGAGCAGCATCCCAAGCTGAGCAGCGCCCTCACAATCAGTGCTGACAATCAGTGGCGACAGGCACTATGTTAATGATTTTTGCCGCTGATCTGCTACGCCCAACAGGGCGATTCACAATCACTTAGAAAAATCCATCAAAAAAAGGTGCTGGAACGCCGTTCCGGTGCGTTCTATGACAAAAAAAGCCCTGAGTATTCCAATTCTTCTCTGAATGAAGCTCCCAGCAAAGTACATATTTGCTGCCTGGTTTGCATGTAATGACAGCCCATCAGTTAAACAACCCATGGACTGTTGCTCATAAGTGGAAGTGATTAGGGTGCTGCCTGCAGTGCACCTGCCACATTTATTGAACAACCTATGATTGAATTCTTTGTAGCTTATTGTTGGGTTGTTTAGCTCCTAAACAAGCCATTATTCTGGGTTCAGACATCACATTCAACAACCTATGAAAGTGCAAGTAAAAGCAGCCAAGTGAAAAGTCAGGTAAAAGCAGAAGTGATGTTACATTGCAGGTAGCATATCCACCCTCTCCCGCTCATCCCTGGCTGCCCATAGTTTAATTAACCTGTGGTCTGTCATTATGCATGAACAACATGTCTGTGAAATTTTTGCTTGGGTAGGATTCAGAAATCACACAGGCTTTCAGAATAGGAAGAACTGTGAGGCTAAGGAAATGAAAGTCAACTGGATCTCTGGAGGCAGGAAGTCAAAGGTCCAGAGAGTCTGTAGGTAAGATAGGATAGCTGAAGGAAGTGGGCAGAATAGAAAGTAGCCTTGGCCAAGAAGGCGAGGAAAAGGAAATGTGCCCAAAAGGAAGCAAGAGGAGACAGGCAGCTGAGGAGAGGAGATAGCAAAAATGGAATCTGTACTTAAAGCCCCTGGCTTGTCTAACTGGACTGAAGGGCAGGAGAAGCAAAAATACCGTAGGACAAGATGGTTAGGGAAAGAAAGGTAAGAGATTCCACTTTGAATGTAGCTTACAGTATTTTCATTTTACCCCAGTTCCCGAAAAGTCAAATTCCCCTGCTGCCTTCACAAGGAACTTGAAAGAAAAAGAAAGAAGGGATCTTGGCCTCCAGTGGGACTTGGATGTGCAGCCGCTCATCTCCTCTGCTAAATGGCTACAGCTTCATGGACTCAAGAGGAACAAGTTGACTTTTTCTCAGATTTTATCCCAAATTGGATTTCAGCACAAACAAGGTACAAGTCTGTCTGGGGGGCTCTCTTCCCCCTTTGCATAATGTGCAGCCTGATCTTTTGCATGCCTTGGGTTACAAAGGGGCCCCTCTGGATCCACAGTCAGTCAGTGACATCAGCATATTAGCTGAGCCTTGCAGTCCATGGGGCTCGCCTTCAAGCAAGTGCAGAGGCAGCCGGGAGGGTAGAGCAACACTGCACAGTGAAGAATCAGACATGATTCAGATGCTTTTGCATAAGTGTTTCCTCTGGCAGCTGTATCATCATATCCTTACATATACTTAGTGATATACATTTTATACTCACCTCTTGTAAGTGATGTATTTATTTTCTGTAAGAAAATTGCACATATTTTTAATCATTTTGGTGAAATTCACTCTAAGGAAACCCCCAAACCTTTTAAAATATGTTTTAAATTCTAGATTATGTGTCCATCTTGGGAAAACTTGTGGCTTCTCGATATGCAAATGGACTGTATCATCAGTACACAGGAGCGCCAGATGGCAAGCTGTATAATGTAAGTGTGACAGATTCATAGCTGGCTGGAGTCAAAACTTTCTTCATTTTTGAAAGGTGATATCATATACCGGAAAAAGCTGCTGTCAGACTATAAAGAGAAATTGGCTGTATTTGATGTTTTAAAATTTGGATTCTACTTCTGGAAATGGGATTGATTGATTGATTCTGAACTGAGGAAGGGCATCCGTCTAAATCTGTCTTGCAGAAACTCAGACTGGGGGGAGGGGGGTTGCAAATCTGGCCTGCCTGGGGTCTCAGGCCCTCCCTTCTGCAATTGCCCATTTGCCCTTCCCGGCCTCACCCTCTTTCCCCCCAAGTGGTACTTGGTGATTTCCAGGTTTTTGTGTGGTTCTCCACAACCACTTCTAAATGGCTGAAATTAGCATAAGCCTTATCACGAGGCAGAACAAAGCAACAGATTTGAGGTATCAAAGTGCAGCAAATTATTAGCTGTCTAATTTATAGGTGCTGGATTTTTGCTGCTGGGGAGGAAGAGAGGTGCTTGTGGTTTTTTCTGCCCCTGGTGCCAAAATAATTGTACTGGCTTTGAGTATTAGGCAGTTTGGGAAGGGATGCAGGGTGCTGCTTCGCCTCAGAGAGCAAAATGTTTTCACCTGGTCATGGTTGAAATGCATCTTGTGGGGCTTATGTACTGACTTTAAGCTAAAACTGTGCTGATGTAATTCATATTTTGGCCCTTCCCCTGGTCTGTGACCCCAGGGTGCTACTCCTAAATGGGACTTGATCCTCAGACTGAAAGAGGTTTAACATTCCTGTCCTAAACTGAGGTTGGAAGAGCCTGGGGATATGTCAGTTCGGCAAGCAAGGATGTTGGATGACAGGCATTCAGTTTAATGATCTAGTTCTCAAATTATTCTGCAAAAGCTACTGATGCAGATTCATTTTAAAACCAGAAGTTCCTCTTTTGATTTTCATAGTTTCCTAGAACTGATGAGCTAAACTCTGGTTTCTTTGGACATTTTCACATCAAAAAGTAGTGTTTGCCACTTTGGATCTGTGTCAAGATTTATTTATAAATCATCACTCTAGTTTATCCAATAATAAAAGCTCTGAACAAATTACATCATAAGAAGAATAAAAAACCATGCGCAAGAAATAACAACCAGTGACAGCAAATCAGCACAGGAGATAAAGGGTAGTATTCAATACTAGCCTCCATTGTAGTACCACTGAAATGAATGAGACTTAGGTTAGTAATAATGTAATAGTCATAAGTAGCCATCGGGCTAATTTTCAATGTTACCCCAAAATACAGTATAGAATACATGAGAACAGATATTAATATTTTCCACCAGTACTATGAAATCTAGAATCTGAAATACCTGAAATGTGATAGATGTATGCAAATCAGGCATCCCAGTATGATTTTGATGGTTGGAATGTGTTTAGAATGGGCAGAAATGTTGAGCTGTGCAGAAAAGCTACTCAAGGAAGGCCTTTTCAAAATCACCCTATATTCAATGGAATTGTACCCCTAAAATAGGGGTTACGAGTGTGCACCAGGGTAGGGTTAGGGTTAGGAAAATGGCATGATTCTGGCATGATTCTGTTGGTTGGAATGTATTTAGAATGGGCAGAAATGTTTAGCTGTGCTGAAAAAGCTACTCAAGAAAGGCCTTTTCAAAATCGCCCTCTTTTCAATAGTAATTTACCCCTATATTAGGGTTAGGAAAGTACAGCAGGGTAGGGTTAGGCCAGTGGTGACGAACCTATGGCACACTTGCTACAGCAGGCATGCAGAGCCCTCCCTGTTGGCATGTGAGACAAGTCACCCCAGCATCGCCCCAGCAGCCGAGCATTGGATAACAGTGCACATAGGGGCCATGTGCATGCTCAGAAAGTAGAGGCGCCAGGTGATGATGTCACGAGCCGTGCCTCATTAGTTGTGACTCGTCCGAGCTTTCACGTGGCTGGTCAGGACACTGCCAAGGAGAGAGAGAGAGAGAGAGAGAGAGAGAGAGAGATATTTGCATGGACTGGATGTGAGTTGTTTTTTCTAAATGAAAACCTCAGTTTTCAGGTTTTATTGTAGTGTTGGCACTTTTGCAATAAATAAGTGGGTTTTGGGTTGTAGTTTGGGCACTCAGTCTCTAAAAGGTTTGCCATCACTGCTCTAGGGGGTGGTGCTCCTTTCTGTTTCTTAGCCTAGGGAGTCAGTGTTTCTCCACACACAGTTTCCATGGTCAGGTGACTGGCATGACTAAATATTTGCTGCTTTCCCATTTGCATTAGCAAGTGCTTAATGTCATTGTGCAAGTGTTGCTTAATACTACTGTAATGTCATTAGTGCTAGCATTGCACTGCCATTGTATATCACCCATGGTTAGTAAACACTTGTTGAAGAATAGAGGCTTCAGTTTGATCCCCACATTAGGTTTTGCTTAAGCAAACAACAGAACCTACCTGATTTCAGCAATAGGATCCACGTCAGCTTGTACAGAAAGAATGGCAAGACCTTATTGATCTGCCAAGTAGATTTGCCAGATTGTAAATGTGTGCTTGCATTTTTAAATGTCTTCAAGTATCAAGAGACTTCAGAGTCTCTGCATTTCCTATCCTGTCACTCAACATGTTGATATCTACATCTTCATTTTCTGCAGCTTACAGCCAAAAAAGAACTCCTGTTCCATTTTGTGGATTGTCTGACTGGAACTATTGAACTGTATAAACAACGGATGGAATGGCTAACAACGGAAAGCCGGCAAATATTTGGAGTGATTCAGGAACAGATCATCACCATTGTCCTGGATTTTGGTGTTGCTCCCAGAGCTGAGTTTGATCTGTGTCGAGAGGCACTTTCTATGATCCTCAAACAGCAGGTGGCACAAATTGCCAGATTTAACCTCATTTGGTACGTTTTGCATACATTTTATTGATGAAATCTGCTGGAGTTCTGGGCACCAGGGCCAGCATTAAGGATTGGTACAGCTGGGACTAGCTGGGGTCACAGCCTAGCGGGGGCCCACTGACAAGCCTCCCTGACAACTCCTCCTCTCCATCATTGCAGTGGGCTTGTTCATTTGCCCCTTGTGCTGGCAGCAGGTGCAACATTGCAGGTGAGATGGAGGAGCCAGAGATGCCCCTGCCCCTTGCTCACTGTCTCTCTGCCTGTCAACTGAGCAAGTGGGAGTAACGAGGAGAGAGAGGATGAGGAGCAAGAGCAGCTGCAGGCCATGGTGGGGAGAAGATAGACGTGCGGGCGGGCGCCGGCTTAACCCGCTGGAAGCAGCCTGGGGCAGGAGCCAGATCTGAGCCCCCTCCCCTCCCTCCCTGAACACCTGCTACGCTGCCGCCGCCGCCCACACCAGGCCTGAGGTGTGCCACCGAGCCCCGGGGACAGAGGACCAGGCCACCGCTGGACCACCCCGGGGACAGAGGACGCCAGGGCCACCGTCCGACCATCGATGACATTGTGGAGGAGGGCGCCGCCATCTTGCTGCCTGGCGGGTTTCCGCACCCCCTCTGCTCCCTCCCAGCTGGCATCAGTGAGAGCAACGCCGGACTGGGGGGTGGGGCGCGTAGGCGGGTGCCGGCTTAACCCGCCGGAAGTGGCCGGGGCTGGCAGCCGAAGGGCGACGGCCAAAGGGTGGTCGCCATCATTTGTGGCCATTCGTGGCTGTGCGGGACTGGGCAGGCGAGGGACTCGGTTGGTGGGTGGAAGTTTATATTGGGGGGAGTAGATGGGGAGTTTTACACTGTTTTAATGTTTTATTGTATTTTAATGTGTTTTTATGAAGTCATCCCTGGCCACATTGATGGTTGAGTTACCTGGGGAGCGCGTGGGCACTGCCATTGGGGTGGTCACAGGCAATGGACGTTACAGCGGTGGGGGCTTAACGTGTCCACATAGAAGAAGGAGGGAGAGATGGTTGACACCTATCCCTCCTTCTGGTTTTACCCCCAGCCAGAGGGCTCCAGGTAGTCTTGTCAACTGCCCCCCCGGGCCTGACGGTGCTGCTGGTTAATGCCAGGTCGGTCCACAATAAATCTTCCCTCATCCATGACTTGATTGTGGATGAGGGGGCCGACCTGGCTTGCATAACAGAGACCTGGGCGGGGGGGTGGATGTTGCCCTCTCTCAAATGTGCCCACCCGGCTATCTGGTTCAGCACCGTCCACGCCTGGAGGGGAGGGGAGGGGGGATTGCTTTGGTTTACCGAGCCTCCGTCTCCCTCACGGGACTTCCAGTCCCTTTGAGGCTGGGGCTGGAGTGCCTCTACTTGGTGTTGGGTGGCCGAGACAGACTGGGGAGTCTGTTGGTGTACCGTGCACCCTTCTGCCCAACAGTCTCCCTGCCTGAGCTGATGGAGATCGTCTCGGATCTGGTGTTGAGGATCCCCAGGATGTTGGTCCTGGGGGAGACTGGTCTGACCGGGGCGGCTCAGGACTTCATGGCCTCCATGATGGCCATGGGGCTGTCTCAACATGTCACAGGCCCAACCCATGAACGTGGACACACTCTGGACCTGGTTTTCCCGATGGGGCAGGAAGAGGGTGGTCTGAGGGTGAAGGATTTATGTCTGACACCCCTGTCATGGTCAGATCACTTCCTCGTGAGGTTTGAGCCCGAGAGCGGCCTTTCCCTCTGTATGGGTGTGGACCTGATTGTGTGGGTCGCCCCCGGAGCCGGATGGATCCGGATGGATTCCTGAAGGCCCTGGGGGAGTTTCTGGCTGACAAGACTGGTGCTCCTGTCGAAACTCTGGTCAAACTATGGAATGGGGAAATGACTAGGGCTGTTGACACGGTCGCTCCTAAGCGTCCTCTCCCGCTGGGCACAGCCCACTCTTCCCCTTGGTATACACCTGAATTGTGGGTGATGAAGCAGGCTGGGAGACGTCTAGAGCGTAGGTGGAGGAGATAACTGGATGAATCTGACCAAACACACTTAAGAGCCCATTATCGGGCCTATGCTGTGGCGGTGAGGATGGCGAAGAAGAAATTCTTCTCTGTTTCCATTGCCTCCTCAAAATGCTGTCCGGCGGAGCTTTTTCAGGTGGTACAAGGGCTGGTTCAGCCTGGCCCTAAGAAAGATCCAGTTCCACCCTCGAAGGCCCACTGTGGTGACTTGCCGAGCATTTCAGGGAGAAAATCGCTCAGTTTCGTCACGAGCTGGACTCCACTAGTGATTCAGAGGCTTCTGGGGAGATACCAATGTCTCCGTCTGGTCCAAAATTAATGGATGAATTTCAGTTATTGCGGCCTGATGATGTGGACAAGGTGCTTGGATGAGTATGTCCCACCACTTGCCTATTGGACCTTTGCCCATCTTGGCTAATTAACGCCAAACACGGGATTGGGACATGGATCTTGGAAGTGGTTAACGCTTCTCTGAGGGAGGGCCAGATACCTGCCCCTTTAAAGGAGGCGGTAGTCCAACCGGTCCTGAAGAAGGCGTCACTGGATCCAGAGATGGCTACTAATTACAAACCAGTGGCCAACATCCCGTTTCTGGGCAAGGTGTTGGAGCGGGTGGTGGCGGGACAACTCCAAGCACTCTTGGATGAAACTGATTATCTGGACCCATTTCAGTCCGGCTTCAGACCCGGGTACGGTACTGAATCTGCCTTGGTCGCCCTGTACGATGACCTGTGCAGGGAGAAGGACAGGGGGAGTGCGTCCCTGTTGGTTCTCCTGGACCTCTCAGTGGCTTTCAATACCATCGACCATGGTATCCTTCTGGATAGGCTAGCGGGACTGGGGGTCGGAGGCACTGCTTTGCAGTGGTTCCGCTCCTATCTCAATGGCCGATTCCAGAAGGTGGTGCTAGGGGACTATGTCTCTGTGCCATGACAGCTGTGCCGTGGAATACCGCAGGTATCCATTTTGTCCCCTTTGCTATTTAACGTCTACATGAAACCGCTGGGAGAGGTCATTAGGAGGTGTGGGTTGTGGAATCATCAGTACGCTGATGATACCCAGCATTACCTCTCGTTCTCTACCAATCCAGGTGAGGCAGTGGCTGTACTGAACCAGTGCCTGGCCGAGGTAATGGGCTGGATGAGGGCCAATAAACTGAAGCTCAATCCAGACAAGATGGAGGTCCTGTTGGTTGGCGGATCGGGCTTTGGGGAAGGGGAATTGAACTTAGTCCTGAATGGGGTTGCACTCCCTCTTAGGGACAAGGTCCGCAGCTTGGGAGTGCTCCTCGACCCAGAGCTTTCACTGGAAGCTCAGGTGACAGTGGTGGTGAGGAGCTCTTTCTATCAGCTGCGCCCCTACTTGGAGAACGACTGCCTGGCGACAGTGACACACGCGCTGGTGACTTCCTGCCTTGACTTCTGTAACGCGCTCTACGTGGGGCTGCCCTTGAAGACAGTCCGGATACTTCAATTGGTTCAAAATAGAGCTACCAGGCTGCTGATGGGGACTGGGCGTTATGTTCACATGACTCCAGTTCTCCATCAGCTTCACTGGCTCCCCATTGAAGTCTGGGCCCAGTTCAAGGTGTTGGTTATGACCTATAAAGCCCTTAACGGCCTCCGTCCTGGTTACCTGAAGGAGCACTTACGTCCATATATGCCCGCCCGCCCCTTGAGATCAGTGGGAGAGGCCCTTCTCCGGGAGCCCTCCGTGAAGGATATTAGGAGGGTAAGTACTCGGAGGAGGGCTTTCTCTGCAGTGGTGCCCAATTTATGGAATGTGCTCCCCAGAGAGGTTCGCCTGGCGCCATCGTTATTTGTTTTTCGGTGCCAGGCGAAGACCTTTTTATTCAAACCTTATTTTATTTGTTAATACTATTTATCTATTTTATTCTTTGGCCAGGGCGACTTAAATTATACTGTTTTATATTGTGTTTATTTATTTATGATTGTGAGCCACCCCGAGGCTTTGACGAATGGGGCAACATAGAAGTTCTCTAAACAAACAAACAAACAAACAAACAAGACTTGCTGAGGGAGGCAGAACATTGAAAGTGCCTTATCTAAGAGCCCTCCAAAACCTGGAACCGCACTGCCGAAATGACAGCCTCTTAATGACAGTCTTTCAATGGAAAGTAGTTGCTTTCAAACCAAGTCTCTGGTCTCTCACCCCATGCCCAAGTTTTAATTGGCATTCTATTTGCAAAAACTTCTTTGCTGCCTAGTGAGCAACTGAAGAAGGCCCGATTAGCTCAAAATCATGTGTTTTCTCAGAATTGATATGGAATGGGAGACATGGCCTTAAAATCGAAGCAATTAAAAAATCAGCTTGCGTGGCTCTTTCACTTGTGAAAGCTGCGGAAAGATGCCATTCCTCCTGTGTACTTAGTGAGTCTGGACAACACAAAGAGAGAAACTTCCTGGAATTTAGAGCAAGGGCTCTGTGATTGGCTCTGACTCCCACCCTCAGTGCATTCCTAGCAGTGATTCTGCGGGCCACGTATGAAGTGGAGGCTCACACATAGAGAGAACAGAAATGGGATACTTGGATGACTGATGTTTTAAAATTAGATTGCTCTTCATGTTTTAGAGAGGCAAACTCCTCCCACCCTAAAAGCCCAGTGTTTTGCCATTTGGCCACTGAGTGATAGCCTGCATGGTCTTGAGTATGAATGCTGCCTACTTTTGTACCAAGTAGGAAGATTGCCTTCAACCTGGACCTGGGCTTAAAATCCACTGCTAAGCAGGACTGGTAATACGGAGCTGGAGAAGATGAGTTGTGTGTATAGGTGGCTCCTTTAAGCCCCTGCTCATGTTCTGATGGTTGATTTTCAGCAGTGGAGCCCCAGCTTGGCATCCAGAAAGTTCCAGGGTTAGCCCATGCCTTCTCCAAGAAGAGCTGGAAAAACAACTGCCTGAAAACCTGGAGAGGTGCTGCCAAAAGCTCAATAAAACATTATCTCAAATGCTTATCTTCTCTGATAAATACAGTTCTGTCTGAGCCAAAGTGTGCATGAACTTACAAAAATACTACAATTTTTGTATATATTATGAGCCAGCAATTGGAGGCTCAGTGTGCAAAATCTCTCCCCCCCCTTCCCCACCCTGAGGAGTTCTTCATGGGTCTTGAGTTGCACAGAGCAAAAGGGGGATTTGGATACTATGATAATGTGGACAGGTCACTTTTTGGGGGACCCAGGGAGAAGGCATAGACTTGGCAAGCCATCCCTGAACCACTTCTGCGTAACCGTCTTTTAAAGTAGCCTTCAGTGCTGACCGCCTCTGAGAATGAGGCCTTTGGCACATGGCTGAGGACTAAAGCCCTCTCTTATCCACAGCAGCTGCCAAATGGGGAGAAAGAGCAGGACTTTATCATTTACTATGAATCAAAGGAGCTTTGTCTTGAGATAATCTGCAGACTTTTCTCGCTGCTAGAATCATATGTCTGTCTAGACACATAAGGCCCCTCTTTTCCTCCATTCCCAAGAATTCTGAGACTTGGCCAGGAGCAAAATATACATCACTTCTTTTTAGTTCACAACTGCTACATTGCAAGCTAGCTTAGCATTTCTTCCAAATGTTTTAATCTACTCTCCTTTTCCAGCGGGGGGCAAGATCTTGTGAAGTGGCAGGAGAAAGCTGTTCCTGTGACAGAAGACTCTATAGACGCTGCCATTGAGTGGCTCTGGATGATGGACCACATGCCAGCTGTTTGCCACATGGGCCCCACAGAAGCTCTGTTGGAGGCCCTGTCTGATGATACGGTAATCTCACACATATTTCTAGAGCTCTTCAATTATGACTAAGGACATCTCAGTGAGAGTTGGGTCGCAAGTGTTAGAAGGATGAATTATGAATAGGGCTAAATTCTAATAAAAGAGCATGGGGGAATTTAAAAGGCATTTCTTTCAAGCTGATCTTCAAACTGGTGCTTACCAATATCAAATGAACATGGCAGTATCACATTCTGAGAGCAGAAGGTTTTTTCTTGACTTCCCACAGATCAAGCAGGAGAAAAATACTTCCATGTCACTAAGGAGCTTTGAAATATAGGCTTGGTTTCCGTTATATTTATTGAGCTCTGATATGCACAAGTCTTTCCCACTGTGTGTAGGGGCCCTTTGTGTGAGCCACAATGAAATCAGAAAGTGGCTAATCAAGCAGACAGACCAAGAAACTGTGCTTCAGAGAAAACCAGGAATGGGTTTAGTATCCTGGCTTGTTCCAAGAAGGTGAGGGTTAACTGGAGACTCCCTGATTTGATTGGTATGTGGCCCAAAGGGAGAAGCAAAGGAGTTCTGTATGTGGGCAAAAAACTCATGTATATTTTAGTTCATGGAATGTGGCCATTGTGTTTGACATTCTTAAGTCTGTCCCTCAGATAATCATCCTTAGAATTTTTCAAGAAAGGAGATCTTTGCAATCAGCATAGCTCTATCTGTGGAAACACTGAAGCATACAAGCTATAACTTTACTGTTAGCTGGTAGAGGTGTCAAGGCTTAGCTGGAAGGCAGCTGTCGAATGTGAACCAGGAGCAGAGCCAGAGCTTTTTACAGATGCTTTATAGTTGGGAAGGCCTTGTTGCTCTGGCAAGTTCATAGCCTACTCAGGAAGTCTTTTATTTTTAAATTCTTTTCATGTCTAGAATGGCCCAGTGACTGGATTGGGTCGCTAGATGGGGCCAGCCCAGGCTTGTAAGCCTTCAATGGCAGAAAATTGTCCAAGCTGCAGTTCTGGTAGTTCACTATATGAAGCAGAAAGTTCACAGTTTTGGTCTTGGAAGCTCTTGATATGAGCTAATATGCCCAATTGCAGAAAAGGAAACTGCTGCTGATTTCCATGAAGGAATCATGAGCTAGGCTTCACCTGTGGCAAAGGTGGTGATTCTCAGCTTACATGGCCAAATCTGGATTGCCTAGGGCCCCAATCCAGCCCTGCAGACCATCCCTGGTGACAATTCCCTTTCCTCTGGATTGGCTTAAATTCCTGATGGACTGGGGTCTTCCCAGCTTTTGTGCAGTTTATTCCTATTTTAAACTAAAATATGCAGGGATTTGTGGTATTTTGCCCCCCTCCCCTTGCCTTTCAGCTTATTTGCTCCTTTGTCTCAAAGAGGTGCAATACCTCTGACATAAGAAACTCACAAGGCAACTGCTATCCCAATGCTAGCTGTCAAGAGTTTAGATTGAGTGATGGGGAATGTTTGCACCCTCCTGATGCTGTTGGGGTGCAGCTCCTCTCAGCCCCAGCACTCACGGCCAAGGGTGAGGGGCAGTAGGAGTTGCAGCCAAGTACATCTGGAAGGACACATGTTCCCCCATCCTTGGTGTTGAGAGATGAAATGGCTTCATTCTATAGCAACATTCTGGGACATGTGAGGTCAATCACACTTACTGAATGGGTTTTCATGAGAAGTCACAGTAGTTTCTCTTGTGGGATGGTCTGTCATGTCATCCTAACTCTGTCATGGTATTCCAGCATGGTACATTTGGTTTTTAAAAACAACAGAAAGAACAGTCTGTTCTATATTTGCCGCGCTTCACCATGGCTTCTCCAGTCTTCTGAACCATTGTAGTTTCCACGGTCCTGGTATGTAGTTGCCACAGAATTCCCTGGAAAGCGTGGCAGATTAAGGCGCTGTTCCAGGTATCTGGCATGGGATTGAATGTCAGGCATGGTGGCTGATGGGATACATCCCAACAAAGGGAGGACTGTCTGAGGGTGGAAACCATTTGTTCATCTGTCAGGCACATCCAGGAAAAAACTGCACAGGTGAAAACCATGCAGGGTTGTTTGCTGTGGTGTGTGAAACCAGCCATTGTAAGATTGAGTGAGGTAAGTAAGAGGAGATCAGTTCTAATAGTCAAAGCTGATATGTTAAGTAGGATGTGGATCCCTTTCCTGGATAAAGTTTATTATATCCTGCTTGGGTAAGAAGTATAAGAAGAGCATAAAAAAAAGGGTCCATCTCCTCCAGCATTCATTTTCCCAAAGTGGCCAACTAGGTGCCTCTGGAAAGTTCTTAAGGAGCCTGTGAGGCCAAACACCTTCTCTGACTGATTTCCCCTCAAAGAACTGGTAATTTGGAGATATAGATGGTAGCATACAGTCACCATAAGTTGATAGACATTTATCCTCCATGAATTTTATGACTTCCTCTTTGCTGCTAAGGGTGCAATCTCATGCAAGTTTAGCCACAATCACTGACTGGGGAATGCTGGGAATTGTAGGATTTCTTTCTGTTAAAATATGCATAGGATTGTGCCTTGAGATGCCAAACGAGTGAAAAGGAGCTCCTTGGGATAACATTTTGACCTATATAACAACAGCACTCGGTTTTGATAGAGTATGGGTTGGGTTTGGGTATCCATAGCCATATGCTCCCAGGTTTTTAAGTGTTTTTAACAGCCACTTGTTTGTTTCAAATGATATGATTAATGCTGCACTGAAAAACAAGGTCTGCTTTTTAGCTGCTTGGATATTTATCTCTTCTTTACAAATATTTCAAATGATTGTTTTAGCTTTAAAAACTTCTTAACAGTCTGTTGATGAGTTTTATATTTGACATCTTTGTTTTTGTTATGTATGTCACTCTGAAAGGTTTGGCTATAGGACATCTCATACACTGAATAAATTAATGCACTCTGGAAACTGAAATGTTGCTTTAAACATGTGTAAACGGTTTTTCTGGGCTGGCCCAACCCAGTTCAGTGCCTGAGGCAAAGGTCAAGATGGTGGCCCTGTTTTAAATCCAGAAACTGATTGGACTAAACTGGTGGTTGCACCTTACTTCATCACTGGCGTGGGTCAGCATCTTTCATTGAGCCTGGGGGTAGCAAACTAGCTTGGGCAGCCTATCCTCCAACACCCCACTTCCCCACCTCACAGTGTCTCCTCTCTGAAGTGTGTACTTCACTCTGCCTACTGGTTGGGCCAACAGGGCCAGCAAACATCCACCTTTAGCTTTTAGATCTGCCTTGTAATGTCTCGCTTTTTTTGTACGCTACGTCAGAAGCCCTTCACAGTTTTGGCAGGTTTCGGCTTGTCAGCCCCCGACTATGTGTGTGTCTCTTGCTTGTGAGTGGAGAACAGCCTGTGCAGCCCTTTGGAAGCCTATGATTATTTTTGCTGAGTGACTTGTCCATTACAGACAGAAGCCGTGTACTATTTTGCTGTTGGTGATATGCCAGAATGCATGAAGCATTTGCTTATGGAGAAGATATCAAGGAGCCCGTGTCCAATTCATACTGTATCTTTCAATGCGAGAGAGGAAGAAACAGTTACTATCCTGAAGGAGCTGAGTCAGCTGACCACTGGCAGGTATGAGGTAAATGTAATACCTAATGATTTCAGTCCTATGAGCCCTTGTGACTGCACACTCCTTTTTTTGTGTATTTTGTCCACAAAGTCTGCAGACTGCAAATAATGGATTAGTAGTCCTCTTTTTCTAGCTGGAATGAAATAACGGTGCTTAACATTTCAAGGCCTTCATCTGGGTTGCAGTTGAAATGATGATAAGAACTGGCAGTTCCTGGAATAGTTGTGTTCCATGGATACCAAGCTGTGTAGGGCAGGATGTGGCAGAAGGTAGGTCTTGGAGTGACCTCCAATAGACCTGCAAGGCTTTCTGTCTGCCAGTTGCTCAAAGCAATGCAAAAGTGCTTGTTTGCTTGTCTCTTTTAAATGAGGCTGTTGAAAGGAGCAATATTTGGAAGGAAAAACCATGAGTGAGTGTTTGGGAGGAAAAACATGAGTGAGAGGACTGCAGACTCAGCTCTGACGCTGCAAGCCAGCTTTTGGTCTTGGCCATGGGCACCTATTCCTTAATTTTGCTTGGTCTAGACTTGGCAACCTCCAGTTGTTTCCAACTTCAGTTCTTATCAGCCTCAGCCAGCGTAGCCAAGGCCCAGGGTGTATCATACTCGTGGTCCAAAACATTTGAAGGGAATGAGATAGCCTACTGCTGTGGTAAGTTTATGTCTGCCCCAAACCACTATTTTGCACCTCACTGTAGTTGCTAGACCTGAGGTTCTAGTAAAACTCAAAGTAGATCCTAGAAGCCTGAAGTCTTTTCCATCCCGTTTTATGGGTTTTTGTGACTGTTGCATCTCACTAGCAACATACGAGTTTATTCATACTATAGAGTTAAACTGGTTTAACAATCATGTCTTCTTTCCAGAACCATTGCTCAAAGAGGGCACTCTAGGGATCTCCAGTGGAGAAATCTCTTAGCAGCTCGTTACTAAATATGCATTTCAAGTGTTATAAATCGTGTGTGTGTGTGTGTGTGTGTCTAGGCTGGAGAGGTCAATTGTGGTCAGAAAGAAGCTCTAAGCTGCTAAAATGCTATACCAGATGCTTCTTTAGCAAATACATGCAAGAGAAGGTGGGAAGGTTTGCACAATTTTTTTCAGCTACAGTGGCTTAAGTAAGTGAGCCACTGTGGATTGTGTCATGTGCCAGTGTCTGTCCTGTAATCTATCCCCTGCTCATAGGTCATGTGGTTTGAATCCAGCAAGTGTGGAGTGTTGGCATGGCGAAAGAGCCATGGGCTATTTTATGGTTGTGGGTCGTTTGCTAAACATGCCAGCAATCCATTCTCACTGTGCTGGGCTATAGAACAGGAACCCATTTGACATGTGCCACAAATATAAGGATGTATTTAAGCTGCCATGGCTGTAAATGATTGTGCAGACTAGGTCAGCCTTGTTGCTGCTAAGAGGTTTGATCTGGGCTGATGTTCTAAATGATGTTTTGTTTTAGCATCTTCATTTTAGGTATATTCCAGAAAAGTCTGTAAAATTGTACTCTTCATGAATTTCCCTACAACATGATATATTCATGTTGAGCCTGATGATCAATTAAAACCAGATTTATTTATTGTATTTTTATCCCTCAAAGGAGCTCAGTATGATATACATTGTTCTTCTTGCCCTTTAATCTCGCAACAGCCCTGTGGGGTAGGCTGGGCTGAGTGAGAATGAGTGACCCATTGGCCTCTGTTGGTAAGTGGGGATTAGGAATCAGGGCTCCCTGCTCCTAATGTAACACTCTCAGCACAGCACCACACAGGTGCTTTTGATGAATATTTATGAACTGTGCTTGCAGATGAAATTATCATATTCTTCAGGTTCCATGCATTTGTGGAGAGAACTGATTATACAGACATGGTGCCAACCTCAGTCAGCAGTGAAGATCAGAGAAATTTAACAACCTGCAGTTCAAGAAAACTGAAAGGGGGCCTGCCTTTAGGTAAAACATAAAGAAAACCAATGTTGTTGTTCTAGGAATCTGTGAGATGGTATTTTTGTCTACGAGAAGTTGGAGACCTAGCACGTCTTTTACTGAAGAGGGAATGGAGGGCTTTCTCTACTTAGCATGGAAGAGAGGGAAGATGCAGAACTTGCGACTATTGAAAGAAGGGGCAAGAACATGATACTGTGCTGATGTGATCAGAAGAGGTGTGGGTATATGTGACGTAGTGGCATAGGTTGCCCCACTGCTGTTGGACTCTTTCCCCAGAGAACCTCTAAAGCATGCATGTGCCACCTTTTTGGTTTCATGTGATAATAGCTCAGGGTTTGCATGTGCATGTATGTGCACACATACCCTCATGCAAGTACTAGTGATCCCGAGACCCTTTTCTTGCTGCTGCTACATGCAAGGAGAGAGTAAGTTGTATCTGGATTGCAGGACAAGGGAATTCCAGCAGTGAAACTCCATGTGTTCTGCACCCCTGCTAAAGCTAGGGTCTTTGCTTCTTTCTGGACCATGCAAGCCCTTTCTGCTTAGGCTGTCAGGTAGTTGTTGGGAGGTCCTTCAGTCATTCCTATAATTTTGTTAACATTTTAAAAGTAATTACTTATGATAACATTTCTATACCTTTTAAAATCAGAATTTTCCAGCGCAAGTCACAGTATAGAGCTGCCTAAACCCTAATAAAACAGAGGTCCTGCTCCAGGAGCCCTCTTTGAAGGAAATTAGAAGGGTAGCTACTCAGAGAAGGGCCTTTTCAGTGGTGGCACCCCATCTGTGGAGCACACTCCCCAGGGAGGTTTGCCTGGTGCCATCGCTTTATATTTTTGGTGTCAGGTCAAGACCTTTTTATTTTCCAGATATTTTAACAATTAATTGGTTTTATCCTTGTTTTTATCATTATTTATTGGAAGCAGTGTGTTGTTGTTGTTATGGTTTGCTTTTTTCTCTGGTTTTTGGTTCTTTGTAAGCTGTCCAGAGACTTTTAGTAATGGCACAGCATATATAAACTTTAAATGAATAAAATAAATAAATAGAACTGCTGTAATCATAGAATACATCTTACAGTGGTAAAAGGCACCATGTAAAAAACAATCACAGTAGAATTAAAAAAATGTATTGGAGTTGGAAAAATTAGGAGACTCAACAAGTCCTTGCCTGATGTGTAAAATGCATTAATGTAGGCTTTGAGTGAGTCTTCCTGGGGAGAGTTCCACAAACAAGACCTTGCTCTCCTGTAGCCATTCCCCTCCCTTTAGGTGGTGAGGCACCCAGAGGAGGGTTTCTGAAGAAGATCATAATATATGAGCAGGTTGTTTGGGGAGAAGACATACCTCAAATGTTCCGGTTCCAAGGTGTGGAGGGCAGGACCAGGCCTTCCTTCCATTCTGAGAGCGAGGCAGCTGCCTGAGGGACCTGCTCTTGGGTGACATGAAGGAACCTCAAATGATAACTTAGCCAGCTTTTTCTTGTAATTTTACTGTCAAAGAGGGAATGCTTGTCAGATTTCCACCGTAAGTTACAGTGTGGGTACTTCTGAGTGGAGGTGTTTCAGTGCTACCAATCAAATGGCATTGTGCAACAGTTCAGTCTTTTCCTTTTTATTGGATTTGTGAGAAGGAAAAGAAAATTGAAGGAGCAGTGGGAAAACACTGGGGCTTACAAATGGAATACTTTTTTATAGATTGCCTGTAAAATTATACAAATGACACAGAGTGGTTACACTGGAAACATCTTTGGTTATCTTGACTGAGACTTCAGCAGCGCAGTAGGGAAGCACGTGTAAGAACTGTTGCTAGAACTGTTCTGGAATGGACTTAATTTTATTGTAAAGCCATTGGTAGCTACAGCTAATTTCTGAAACTCTTTCCATTGGAATTGTTCTTCAGATTTTGGTCTCCTGAATCAAGTGGTCTTACTTGCAGTGTGGAGCCAGTCAGTCTGGCATTTTTTCATTTGTGACTTCTGTGCTTTGCTCAAACTGGTGGAGCAGTTTCTACAGCTTTAGGTTTACAGCTTGACTTCTTTTTTCATAATGGCTATCACAACACAGGACTGAATACATGTATTGATTTTAAAAATATACCAAATGGAATCCTGATGCAACTTGATTAAAAAAACAGTATGAGTCCTAACATGGTTGTGCGATTGCATTTAAATGCCGCGTGTGCTATTTTAATCCATCTTTCTGCATTTGTGCACAGTGGTTACCTATAAAGAGGAGAGAGAAAGAGGAAAAGAGACATGCAGAAAAATGGAGGCAGATGTTGCAAGTGCTGAATCTGAAATAACATTTAAACGTGTGCTGAGCTAAACTGAAAGGCACTGAGTGAAAGGCAGCACACAGGCATGGAACAATGATGCAGTGGGGAAAGTTTTAGAGCTGCATATGGCAGTGAATGGTTCGTCGCACTGCATGTGGGAGGTGAAGAAGGATCACTTCATCTTATTTCAGCACTACTTATAGTAATTTGAGCTGGACACCCCCTATTTCCTGTATTTTAGAGAAGAGAGAAATAATTCTTTTCTGTCAATGTCTGCATGTTATTACTTCTTGAGCTGCAGAGAAAGTGACCTGGGGAAAGACAATCTGTTTTGAAATGGTGATCTTTCATATATTCTGGTAGGTCTCTTTTGAATAGCTACAAAATTCCCCAGAGATGTTGTTGGCTTGTGACGGAGCTGTGTATCAAATTAGGTGTGTTAATAGGAAAGAATGAGTTATTGGTAGTGAAGAAAATAAAATGAAACTGAACTGCTTATGGTAACCTGCTGCAGATTAACACAGGCCATTTGCAAAAGGTTGATTACCTAGGAGCAAATCAAATAACTGAAACCGGAGATATTTTTAACACAACTATCCCATGTAGAAATCAATAAGATTAGGGGTGCATTTGGGTTAGGGTTTGCTGTTTTTATTTCTGCAATGGAGTTGCTTATGTTGAATTAATAGTTTTATGATGTGTGGATTGCTGTGTGTTGAATCAATGTTTTGATTGATCAGGAGTTTCTCCAGATATGCCTGATCACAAAGAGAATGCATACTGAAAATATCAAAAGTCGTAGTAAACCAGCTAGCACCAAATGACTTTAATGTGCAAACACATCTTGTGAACTAGAGTGCAGTAACCGCCTGCTGTGGCTGGTTCACATTAGAGCATGCTCTCTTGCTCTCTTCCTTTCTTGTATGAGATCAGGCAGGCAGGTTCATGGGATAGGGCCTTTACGGTGGTGGCTCTAAGACAGCGGAACACCGTCCCTGTCATGCTCAACTAGGTATCTTCAGTTTCAGCATATTGATGCCCATTAAAGACTCTTTACCACCAGCATGCTTTTAATGCAGAATTTTAACCTGCTTATATATTGGTTGCTGCTTTAAGTGGTCTCTTGTCACTATTAGCATTGTTCTTGTTTTTGGAATGGTTTTTGCAGTAACTTTAGATATTGTTTTGTTTATAAGCTGCTGTTTTGCAAGCAGTTCTCTCTGTCTCTCTGTCTCTGTCTCTCTCTCTCACACACACACACACACACACACACAGAGAGAGAGAGAGAGAGAGAGAGAGAGAGAGAGAGAGAGAGAGAGAAGCTGTCATGCTATCTTCACATTTACCTGGAAGCCAATCCAGTGAAGCACATTGGGGCTTACATCTAAATAGACTTGCATAAGACCTGTATTGGTAATGTATTTATATCAGTCATAGGGGCCATGGTTTTTATCGGGATTCTTCACCTCATTTTCTCAGTTAAAATTGCCTACCTCTAGTTTACATTTGCTGTGGTGACAAACCTACAAGGCCCCTATGGCTTTCAGCAAAGAGACAAGAAAAACAAAGTCAAACAATTAGTACCAGTCGGTGGCAAAGCCATTAAGATAAACTTTATGGCTGGTCCATGTAAGTGGATGATTTACTACCTTTGGGACAAGAGCCTTCTCTTAACTGTAGGTCTAAGTTGAATAAGGCTGCCCTTTCAAAATTTGCTGGATTTAATGCTGGCTGAGTGCCACTGGTGGCCAATTTGTGAATGGCTCTGAGCGGGGTGCAGGTATGCACAGGCCTGGATGTGATTTAAGCACACCTAGCTGAAATGCAGAGTGAGCCATGATTGTGCTTCCTGAGGTACACATTATCGTATTTTATGATTTTTAAAAAGAGCTCCATGGAGATAATAGCATGCCTTGAATAGTAGGAACAAAAAATTTTCTGATATTCTATAATTGTGAAATTGGGTGACTCAGGTTATTCTACAGAGGCAGAGCAGGTAACCCAACAAAGCTCTTCTGAGTTAGTGCTCACAGATTTTCACACAGGAATTGAAAATAAGGATATAGCAGCCATCTGTTATAGGCTTGCCTTGTCCCTGGGGGAGGCTTGAGGGTCAGCCAGGTTGGCCGCTTGCTGAGGGCCCACACCCCAGGTGAGGACTGGCCACCCAGCACCCCTCCTCATTCCCCATTGCGGCCTGCCTCTTCGCCTGCTGCTCGCTTTGGCCCAGACAAGAGTGGCTGTGAGAAGGAGTAGCAGGCGTTATCCCAGCCTTCTCACCTGCTGACCCTCTGCCAGTCAAGCAAGCAATTGGGACAAGCATGAAATGGAGGAGGAGCAAGAGCCATGGGTGCTGAGAAGGGAGGCGGGCGGGGGGGGGGGGGGGGCAAGAGCCTGCAGAAACCTGGAGCCAACACACCCTGCAAACATCAAGCCCAGGCAAAGGTTTTAATGCAGTCCAATAAGTGATGACTATACCAAAAGATCTGTGAAGCTGCCTGAAGATGTTATATTTTTTTCCTCCTATCCCTATCTTGGTGTGTATCTTAAAGGCCTCCATATGAAAGGAGTGGAGTACCATTTTTGTTATTTTTACATGGCATTTATATCCTGCCTTTTTGCCTCATGTGAGGAACCCATGGTGGCTTACATAGGTTCATTTTATGCTCACAACAACAGCCCTGTGAGGTAGGTAAGGCTGAGTCTGAGTGACTGGCCCAAAGCCACCCATTG